AACATTTCTCAGCTTTTTGTGGGGCTGGCACATGTGACATATCATAATGGGTATCTATAACTATAGAACTCTGAAATGTGTTTGTGTGCCATTACAAACTTACAAGCTCAGATCACTGAAAGACAAGCTGGTTAAAATGTGGGCATTCTGTACCTGACTGATAAGCTTAGTGAAATTCACTGTAATAAAAAAAAAAAAAAAAAAAAAAGACACTTCTAGAAGTGTTGCTTTGGTGACTGTCAGCATCTCCATTCCTAGCAAACAGAACTGCAATGACAAGTTTTAGATCAAAGGGTAAGCAACTGTCAGTGTCAGAACTTAAAATGTTCAAATTGCTTATTTTGAATCCTTGCTCATAGGAGCAGAGAGGGAAAGGGAGAGACATTCCAGGCTTTGGAGGAGTGGAATAAGCATTCTGGTTAGCACATGGTGTTTTATTTCTTAGGAATGGTTAGGTTTTTTGTTATTGAAATAAAACTGTAAGAATCTTAAAAAATGGGATGACTTCTGATATCCTATATCAGAAGGATATATCAGCAGAAAAAGAGTAGAAAACAAATCTAATTCACTTTGTGCAAGGATCAGAATTGACCCTAAGACATTTATTAAATTAACGTGCATAACTGATTTGCTCTCTGCATAAGCTTAGCAAGAAGCAGTTGTGCATAACAGTAATGGTTTTTCATTCAAAAAGGAGTTAGGCAAGTCAGGTTCTCAGGTTTTCATCAGATTATTTCTGCTTGCACACTGCATTACATGCACCTGGAGAACTGTAGGAGACAGTGAAGCTGAAATGCTAAGCCCACTCAAAACCATCCTGCCCACAGAGCTTTCAGAACGTTAGCAGTAATTTTGTGAGTAACTAGCTCAAAGCCTACAGTTAGTCTCAGGTAGTAGAAATGAATCTAGCACTGCAACATTTGAAGTTAATGACATCTTAATGTGTATGACAAAATATTCTAGAGATCTCATCTGACATCATGTCACAAATGTGCTGAGCATATCACTTACTGCTAATAGGCAGTAATGCCAAAAAAGGCCTGCAATGTGAAACAGACAAAAACAAGGAAAAAAGAGAAGAAATAGCTCCTCTCTACTTAGGCACAGAGACTGAACCGGAGTTTGAGAGAGCCTGAGACAGATCCAAGGCTGGATCTCTGCTCGCTAGAGCCCCAGAGAGGTTGACTGGAGAACTGTTCTTCCTCACCTGGAGCCAGGAGTTTGTAAAAGGTCAGAAACACAAAACTACCTGAAAGCTACTTCCTCTGAATTAAAACCCCTTAAAGTCAGAGATTAGCCCAGTAAGAAGCTGGGGATAATACTGCAGAGAAAGGGAGCAGAATATTTGAGAGAAGTCTAGAGTATACACATATATACAAAGACATCTCCCATCAATTACCATTCTAGAACAAAGCTTTTTCCAATATAGTAAATGAGAAAATACTTACAAGCCCAAATCAACAAATTGAAGTAATTTTTAAAAAAGAAAGTGACACCATTCATAGAGGTATAGAAATGAAAGCGTTGAATCACAGGGATCAAGTAAAGACACATTGCTGACCTTGCATCTTACTTAAGAAAAAATTCATTTTGCATCTTCTCATTCTATGCTGACTCCCCACCAAAATTCCAAGTGTCCGAGTGCTTGCTTTTTCTAACAGCAAAGTATTCATTGCAATGCCTACTCTAAACTAGATTAACAGCTGTGAATTCCATTTCTGGTATTAAAGGAACCCTGCTGAAATAACAGTTTAAGAAAGTTTAATGAGCCATGTAATTTGAATAGCACTTTTTTCTGACCTTGCAACAGTATAAATCAAATTATGCCTTGAGTACCTTAAGTTCACTACATTTTTTCCTGAATACAAACTAGGCAGGACTCATTTCTTGCTTGGAATACAGGGAATATCAACAGTCTTTTTGGCAGCACTTTGCCTATCATTAGTGCTCTCTCCTAACTGGACAGCTATCGTAATGCTTGGTTTTAGGAAACAGAAATTTTATGTTCTAAAGCAAGTCCTCACTTTCCCAGATAAACAGAATCATAGAAGTATTGATATCACTACCCTTTAAGAAAATGAAACCATCCAAAAACGTGCTGCAGACAAGAAAGTGATGGTTAAAGATGGAAAAAAAAAAACCAACCCAAAACTGCTAAGGATTATCCATCTGAATTATCTCAGAAAAGCTTCCAGCAGAAACTAAGTGACCAGCAATGATAAGGAAAACAACCTTAAGTGAAATGAAGAAAGGCAGCCTACACTGTCATAAGACTTGTTATTGTCATACCTTTGCCTTTCTTCTAAATTTAGACTCAAAAGCTGGCCAGCTTTTACTCATTGCACACTATTGATTTTGAAATATTGTAATTACTTGGAGATTCAAAGACGTGTTTTACAACTGAACGGTGGACAAAATTTTAGAGACATACACAGGAAGACTGAACCTGTCCACTGTGCTTTTATTTTTACTGATGTTAACCCTACTTAGATGACTCTAGCTTCTTCCTGTTGGATCTGTTATACAGAGTAACGTTTAATATGTAATTTGTTGTATCCATGTTACTTTGTACTTGTTTTGTGTTGAGCTGCTTGTTACTGAGGAGAGAACCAGCCCAGCAATGTGCTCAGTTCACAATATAAATAACAGTAAATGACTCAAACTCTCCCATTAGATAGACTGAACATTAATGATTATGCCATTTATGGCATGTAGATTCATAAGAATCAGAAAAGGTTGGAAAGGACAAGATCATCTAGTCCAACTGTTCTCCCATTGCTTCTAAAAGCCACTGAACCATACATCATAGCTCCTATGTACAAGGAAAGGAAACATCAAAAACCACATTCATCCTTCACTCTTATGGTGGCTTTCCTCATACCACAAATCAAGGAGTATTCCAGTATTTATCAGCTCAGCTCCATAACACTCCTTTCACAAGGCATCTGTCCATATGGAGTTGTTCCTTTGCTTAAAACTGCAAATCTTTGCTGACATTTTGGTTGCTAGACTTGGACTGAAGCTGCATCTCAAGAACAACTTCTTGTCTTTCTTTGGAAAAGCTGAGGTTTCATAAAAATGCCTTTTATGAGAGAATTGAACTATTGCGTAAGATACATTACAGGCAATGATTAGATTGACCTTACAGAGCTGAAGTTGGTATCTTCTGATGTGGGAGACCACAAAGAGATACGAGAGACTTCTGAAAGCTTTTCTGAAGTTGCATGCCTAAGTCATACTTAACAAAGAAACTAATTGTTAGTATTAGCGTGACCACAACTTTTTTTTTCCCCCAAGGCAAATCGATGCTGATACATCCTGTTTACAACTCTGAGTGATTTTGCAAACCACCAATAGATACATTTTTTAAAGAACAGTTAGAAGTAAACTAGATTCTATTCCAAATCTAATAACTGCTGTAAATGACTGGAATAGTCTCTTATTTCATCCTTTTCATTCGATATTTTACATTCTTTCTTATTACTCAATTTAGAAATGTCAAGTAGAGAATACTGGCCTATTACAAATAGCGAAATGTTTCAGAGAACCAAGAGTTACATGTTTTACCTGCTCTGCATTTCAGAAGCAGGACTGGGCAGGGGCCACATTTTCATGTCTTCCAAATTCTATTTTTTTTTTATTTTTTTTTTTTTTTAAGCACAGTGGTTGCCTGATAGAGCTTGTGAGAACTCATTGAAGGCACATGCTAGCAAAATTACTTCATTCTGCCAGCTAAAGGATGTTTTAGTTGGGAGTTTAATGGTCCTTAAGTATAGGTAGTGCTTAGCTGGAGATAATTCTGTACACATGCATATCAGTAGTTCACTGAATTAAACAATGGGAACTTTGCATATTTTTAGCCCTTAAGCAGATAAGTTGACCATTGCTATCTTTGAAAGCACTTTAGCCAAGAAAATCTAAGACCTTCTTCAGGTTCATATTTGCTCAATGGATCTGGTCTGTATCTCAAATGAAGAGCCTTCCAGGAGTCATGTGATATTGGGCCCTTCCCTTTACACACATACACTTCACCTTTCTGCAGTTTTTTTTTTTTTTCTGTTTCATGCTCTTACGCTCTATAAGAAGGAGTACAGAGGGATTAGTTGAGAACCTTCCTTGCTGCTCACCTGCCCCTTTTTTCCCCTATTCTTCCAGGTCATTCCCTTTCCTGCCATTTACAGAGCGAAAGCACGTTAGTCTAGTGTTAGAGAATAACATGCTGCATAGATGTACATCTTTCTAAGACTGGAATCCTATTTATTTTATTTTGTATTACTTCTCTATATTCCCTGCTGAAATAATTTTCTTTTACTTATCTTCACTGTGGGATATCACAGGCATTATGCTCTCAAACACAAAAGAAAATGTCCAGCTGTATATATGTGAAGAACTTGGTATTCTCAAGTTCTCCCTGTTAACGGGTATTTATCAATCAACTATCAATTAACGGGTATTTATCAATAAGCTGGAAAATATTGTCTCTTTGGCAGGCAAACAGAGCTCATAATGCAGAGACCTCAGAGCTAGCTTATTGATTGTGAAGATTTGTTCCAGTTAGGCTAATGAACACATCGCTCTACCACATACACCCAGGAAGGAACAAGCACAGAAAAACAGCTTTTGAGCACCTGACCATTGTTTCAGATGGGGAAGGATATCTGGCCCTGAAACGAGTTGATTTCTTCTACTGCAAAGCATCTGTCAGTAAAGAGATTCTGAAAATCTAAATGCAGATGTCTTCCAGACTAACAAATATTCCAGAATAACTGAGAACATTGAAGCTACTATTCATTAATTGCTAGAACTTTGTCATGATTCTGATTACAATTATATTCCATTAATGTAAAGGCATGCTAAAAGCCATGCACATCTCAAACTGAGAAGTACAAATACAGTTTTAGGAGTAGCCACAAAAAAAGAAAAGGCTCATAGATGTAGTCTATGCAAAGCCTTAATAGCCTTGTTTTTATTTCGTCAGTTGTTACAGTTCTAATTCTTACCATGCATTTGCGATCATCCACCCCAGCTAAATCCTCTTCAAACTCCTTTCCTACATCAAATTCCATGATGTAGTTTCTAAAAGTGCTTAGCGTTTTAATAATCATATGATCTCCATTCTGAAAGATTTCTTTGTCAGGTTTTAGCAAGTTTGCTATTTTTCTTACAGCAACATTTACATCTGAAAAAGAAAAAGAGAGTTACTTTAATACAGAAACATCTACCAGAAAAAGAGACTTGTACTCTGGGGAGAGATTAGGTGAAGGTAAGTGTCCAGATATTTCAGGCCAGCTTGTTAAAAAAAAAAGTCTACAGCCCAGTTCTGTTGCCTATATTTGTGCCTTGTTTTGCTACTTGTATTTGACAGTTAATAAGGGTACTAGAATTTCTGCAGGAGTAGTAGCTTTTTATGTACTTCATCACACGCAAACACACAAAACCGCCTCAAGTACATTACCATCTCTGTAGCACGCAAAACTTTCACTATCTCAAATTATCACAGAATCACAGAATCACAGAACTGTAGGGGTTGGAAGGGACCTCCAGAGATCATCGAGTCCAACCCCCCTGCCAAAGCAGGTTCCCTACAGCAGGTCGCACAGGTAGGCATCCAGGCAGGTCTTGAACATCTCCAGAGGAGGAGACTCCACCACCTCCCTGGGCAGCCTGTTCCAGTGCTCCATCACCTCACTGTAAAGAAGTTCTTGTGCGCATTTGTGCAGAACTTCCTATGCTCCAGTTTCTGTCCGTTTCCCCTTGTCCTGTCTCCACTCACCACTGAAAACAGTCTGGCCTCGCCATTCTGCCCCCCACACCTTAGATATTTATAGACCTGGATCAGGTCCCCTCTCAGTCTCCTTTTCTCAAGGCTGAACAGACCCAGTTCACTCAGCCTTTCCTCATAGGAGAGATGCTCCAGGCCCTTCACCATCTTCGTGGCCCTCCGCTGGACTCTTTCCAAGAGATCCTTGTCTTTTTTGTACTGGGGAGCCCAGAACTGGACACAGTGCTCCAGATGAGGTCTTACCAGGGCAGAGTAGAGGGGGAGGATCACCTCCTTCGACCTGCTGGCCACGCTCTTTTTAATGCACCCCAGTAAGCCATTGGCCTTTTTGGCCACAAGGGCACACTGCTGGCTCATGGCCAACCTGTCATCCACCAGGACACCCAGGTCCCTCTCCGCAGAGCTCCCCTCCAGCAGCTCATCCCCCAACCTGTACTGGTGCATGGAATTATTCCTCCCCAGATGCAAGACTCTACACTTGCTTTTGTTAAACCTCATCCGGTTTTTTTCTGCCCAGCTCTCCAGCCTATCCAGGTCTTGCTGAATGGCAACACAGCCTTCAGGCGTGTCAGCCAATCCTCCCAACTTCGTATCATCAGCAAACTTGCTGAGGGTGGCCATTATCCCCTCATCAAGGTCATTGATGAAGATGTTGAACAAGACCGGACCCAGTACAGACCCCTGGACCCAGTACAGACCCCTTATTATATTTGGGTTTTAAATTTAAAGTCTGCAACTTACCTCTTTCAGCTATGTAGTTTAGTCACTACACTTGGAAACTCCATGATGTCAAAAAGTGGACTGCTTAAGAGAATTTTGCACAGAGCAATTCTTAGTTCCTGAAGAAATTATTTCTCACAAAAATGCTTTATGACCATACAAGTAGAATAGATTCATGAGAGGATTAGGATAGTCTGCATTTATTGATCACTTATAAGAAACATAAAGGGAACCTTACCCAGTGCTTTGAGATACTCCTCAAAATTGTCATTGCTGATCATTTTCCAGTAACCATTGAAATCTGCAGGCATCCCTACTCCAGGTAATTGTCAAAATCAGCCTCAGGTTCTGCACCTTACAGCTCACTGCCTTTCTTTGTGGCAAATCTGAACTCTGGTTTCTTTTATCTGGTTTTTACACCACGTAGCTATGCAAGTCCTTCTAATCCGATTATTGCTGAAGTGTTGCCTTTAAATCCTTCCACAAGGCTGAACCTCTGAGATTTCTACTGACAGCAGGATGACTTGATTTAAACAGAATGAAACATTCATATTCCCTGTAACTTCTGTAAAGCTACTGGAAATCTGGAAATTCATTTTAACCATAACAACTCTTCTTTTTTAATGCCACTAAGAAACAAGATTCTTTAAATGGCTTTAGTTTAGGTTAGTAGCCAAGGCTATACAAATGTATACCTTGTGTGCTTTTTTAAGGGATATCCTACTTCTTAGAGTACATCCATCTATTTTATGCCTTCTTTATGGAAAAGAAGGCCTAAGACCTCTCATACAGCAATTTGTGTCTGCACTAACTTATTCCGTGAGCTCCTTAATTCTGCCTGTTGAGTTGTTTGGGCAGCTGAGGATTCAAAAAGGGGCATTTAGACATAAGCAGCAGTGGTTAGTTCCATACGTGAATAAATACTGCATCACAACAGAATGCACACTCTCAGTTAATTTAAGCAACACTGGAGCAAAGAAGCAGCACTTCATAGACATTAACTTCTCACATGCCTTTACAGCAATAATTTGTTTCCTAAATAAATAACGTATATATATTTTTTAAATAATACTACTAAGTGATTGAAAACAAGAAACCCTTAAAGCTAAAAAAACTGCATTCTGTTTTAAGGTGGAAAGCTGTAATGGGATGGAAAATGCTGCGATTATAGCAGGGTGGCAAAGTCTTTGGCTGCAGCAAATGACAACAGACCCATGTGCAGCAGCTGCAAATGCAGAAATGAAGGAAAAGAGCTGCTCACCTTTGGAAAGCCTCAGGTAGGCAAGGATCTCTAGCAAGAAATGCCTCACCTCTACTGCCAACCCTTAGATGAAGTCTGGAAAGGGGTGGACCCTGGCTCCATTCTTCTGGTCGCTCAGGTACATTGCATGCACCTGCCTTTCTTTTCAGGTGCTCAATCATAGTTTCAGGCTCTGACTTAGCATTTCCTCTACATAAGGGTAAGAGCAATCACAAATTTTGAAGCAAAAAACTCAAACAAATTACTTGTATATTACATCCAGTGCTTCCAAAAGTTAGAGTCAAACAATATAAGACATACGTAAGCAACAAATCCCACTAGACTAGGAGAGAAAATTCTTATCTACAAAGACATTGAAATGCCACAGGTTTGTGATTTTAGCAGAAAGTATCTATCATATAACAGAAATCTGTGTTGGCAATATAAAGGTACCTAACTAACGTGACCTGCAGGAAGCAAGGGAACATTTGCTTTATAGGAGATTCAAAAAGCATTATTGCTTTACCTTTGTGTACAAACACAAAAGTACAGAAGAAATTAGGCTGTCTTCTTACACCCTTTTAAGTTTGAAGCCTGAAGATCTCTATTCACTTTGCAGTAAGCAGCTCTCTTCCTTGCTGTAAAGAAGAGATAGAAGCACAACCTAACATTTTAGCTGACATCAATATGCAACAACTATCTTATAACTCACATTTTTTCCTTGTGGAGCTACTTCAGGGAAAGGGTACTGATAGTTTTATTTTAAGGGAAAACACTGAGAATTCAGAATAAGAGCACAGAACTCCTATTCAGTTCAATTACTCCCATGTAAGATACCCTTCTGCAGGGAGCTGAACAAATGTCGTGTTGGTAGATACAACCACTGTGCATTCCAAAATACTAACTATACTGTATTGTTTTAGGGTGCTTTAGCCTCCACACATTACTTCATTACAACCTTATTTCACATCTAATGATTTAGAAAAGTAATTGCCAACTATAAAGATGGAGTATCTTACTCTTACCGAGCTACATTAACTGAATTCTGCACAATCCCAGAGTATGGATGGAGTGAGCAATTATTTAAGGACAAACTTCCTCCTTTGCCATCTTTTAAAATCCACTTCCAAAACACAGGCTTACCAAACATGGATAGCTATTGTAGATGCTGAGATTAGAAAGCTAATATCCTTATAGAACCAATGGAAGAAAGGAGGGCTTGTCCAAGACTGGCCAAGTAGGAGCCTGACTTGAATAACCTGAAGTACACATTGAAAGAATTTCCCTTCCACAAATAAGATGCCTTGAACCAAGCTGTGTATGCCCCCTTGTTTACATCTTTATCCAGTACAGAGAAATCCTACATGAGCAGAGTTCTTTATTTCAAAGGGATAATATCCAAGTAGTTCCAGTACATTAGACCAGAAGTCCTTGAAGTCTGTATGCTGATTTCAGCAGTGCAAGTTATGACACTTCCCAAACGTACTTATCTATATTTTATTAATTCTGAGCCAAATGTGTACTCTTAGGTTAGAAAACAATTTGCATTTTAGTGGCAATACAGAAAATGTCAAGTGCTGGCACTCATTCAGTGTGAAGTAGTAGCAGCTACTCTCTTTCAGACAAGTGAGTAGCTAGTTTTCCATATCTGTTGAATCTACTCTTTCTAGTATATCATGGTTTTATGCAGTCCTGTTTAAGTAAAATAAGAAGCTACATGAGGCCCACAGTCAGGCCTTTGCCTGTTTTCCTTCCTCTTTCCCGAGTGTAAGAAAAACCAAAGGTAGAGCAATCCTCCAGAGCTTGCTGTTAACTCACAGGATAGCTGAAGGCATCCTGTTAAAAAGTGAGTGAGACAGAATCAAATTAGGCAACCTACCCACAAGAGAATAGATTTGTCTGGCTAGCATTTGCATCCAAATACTAAGAAAGTCTCTTAGGTATTTCATGTTTTCTATCATGCCTTTTCAAATGGTACAGGTTGAGCTCCATACCACTATTATCAAAGTACCCTCTATTTTGGAACAAGACCTGTATTTTTTTCCATTTTACTTGTTTACTAAAACATTATGCTGAATTAATAGTTTTCTTTACAAATAGATGTACCTAGACCAAGTAACATTTTTGAGAATTACTTATTGTAACTGATTGTGAAACAAAAAAAATGTTTTGGCTTCTTTAGTTTGGTAATACCTTTCCATATCATTCAAAAGTGAAGTCACCGGTAGAAAAAGACAAGGTATATGTTTTATATGACACGAATTTGATCTATGAAAAATTGGATGCATTTTAATATTACTTGGGAAGGCGGCCATTTTTAGCTTTTGGTGTTATGCTTTTGTTGCTTTTCAGAGGTTTTTCTTTCTTCCTTTTATTTTGTATTGCTATACATCCAAAAATGCAGCAAGAAAGCATTACATTTATCAGTGGAAAACAACTACATTTTGATTTACCTCACAATGTGACCAAGAACATCAGAAACTTTTTTTTTTTACTGCTTAAAAAGAGGGTTAATGTTCTACAGTCCTCTAGGACACATGATCAACAAGGCTCTGGAATAGATAATATGCTATAGACTCCAGATCAGAGAAACAAAGAAATCCACGTAGTGCGACAGAGACTGTCTTTCATTTGTAAATCAGGAGGCTTAAAACTGATATGAATGGTGCATTAATTTTTAAAGCACTTGCTTTATTTCAACTTATCCTATCTGCCAAACAAATGCACTTGTAGCTTACCTTACACTCTTTAGAAACAGAAATTTGGGGTCCTAAGTCTACATTTAGGAGTTTGGTTTTTTTTTTTATTTTTAAGGAAAATAGGGAAGTTGCTGTTCATTTCAATTTGCTGCTTCAGAACAATAAGACATCTTCATCCTTAAACTGTCCATAAGATTAAGGAATTCCAAATATAGAAAGCACTATGTTCAACCTTTAAATATGACTGAAGATTATCATTTATTGCTAAAACCTTATTTCCGTCTTTATGGTATTCAACTGACTGTGCTGATTTTATGAAGAAAAAAATTAAAACACCATAAACTCAGGAAGTTTTGGGCTGATATATTTCCCCCTTATCAAAAAGAAACATCTTTCAAGAGCTTCTCATGAAGAAAAGGTCACGTCTGTCCATTTCACAAACTATGGGCATCTGTCATTCAGCGGGCTTACCGCTGTGTTATGCAACTTCAGAGGCTGAAGCAAGTCACCTTCATTCTTCCGCTCACTTTCTTCTGTGTAGATATTATGGTAAGCAATGTAGGCTATGACAGAATCTGGTATGAGGTATTTTACACTTAATCCTCTACACAAGGCGTGGCGTATCTGTGTTGAACTGATTTCATTCTGAATCCATTCTTCCACTAGAAAGATATTGTGCTGAAATTTAGTTAGAAGTTCTGATTCATTGATGTACTGAGCAGGATCAGAGCCAGCACGGCTTACACAGACCAAACCAAACTGTTCTAAGATTTCTTGGATGTGCTCTTTCTTCCAGAGATTGGGTGTCTGAAACGTACGTAGAAAATCAGCCCCACAGAGCAGCTTTAGTTCCGGTGTAACTAGAAAGACAAGAAGAAATAAGGGATTTCTATTCTTGCTCAGTTTTATTGGAAAATCAGAAAAATTATACTTACAATTTTTTTACTATCATCAAATATTTATCTTTTACTACAATTTTCCTTCAAAAGGCTACAGGAATGATTTAGCTTGGGTTTGATGTGTCTGGTAATTAATTACCCTACCTACTTCATCACTCAAAGCTGCACTAAAGGAGAAAATGATTCCTCTTCTCAACCAATCTGAGAAGGGCAAGGAACAAACAGAAGAGTCATTTTGGCATAAAAGACCAGGCAACAAGGGAGTTAAATGCCAAAATAACGTCCATACTTCCAATAGCTGATGAATGATCAGAAAATGATAGGATTCATATAACAGTAGATTCAATCCCATGTAGAAACCCAAAAGGAAAAGCCCTACATAAACTAGAATCTAATTTAAGAGATTTTAAGCTCTACGAAAAGAATTTCCACACCTGTGCCAACAAGAATGTGTCTTTGGCCCTTTAAGGACACTTTGCTAAGTAACAATCTGGGGACAAAGACCAAACAGCTGCTCTTCATTTCTTTTTAGAAAAGTACTATAGCCTTAATTTCAGGATATTGCATGTCTTAAACCAGGGAAATTTTTGCTGTTTTTTCTTTATCAGCATAGCTCAATCAAGAATGGTGAGCAGTGCTGTACAGGGGGAAGGAGGATATAAGCTGAAGTGGAAAAAAAATCAAAGTACCTGGACTTAAGAATGAGCAACGTCTAAGGACAACTGCTGTTGGATTGCACCAAGGAAAATGATTTGAAAGGTGACAGCAAAGCTTGCCATGCGAACCAACTAAGACTTGAGGTGCAGAGAAATCAATATTAAATGAAAGGAAGACAGTTAACCATCTCTTGTAATTAGGAAAATATTGCATGCAAAGCTATACTTCATGAAACAAGGTGGAATAGCAAATCTTACCAGAGCAACATATGAAGAGCGAAGAGGAGCTTTTAACAAACATTAGATACATATAAATATATATATGAAGTCTATTCAAAGCAATTTGTAATACAGTGGTTTCATTTGAACGCTTAGCCATTGTTTACACTAGTTAGTATGCTACTTTTGAATAAGAACAAAGATTGAACGCTCAAGTGAAGATATGGACATCTAACACCTAATTCCTTCAGTAAGGCTATCCACATTTTATGTTCCCATAACAAAATTTTCAGAACAGAGGTGAAGTCTGAGCTCTTTGGGGACTTTTCCAGGGTACTGTAGGCATTATAGGCTATCACAGCATACAGGAATAACCAGAAGAAACTAGTTTTAGTTGTTTCTAATATTTAGAGCTCAGATATTGAAAAATACAATGAAAAAGTCCAAGTCCTATGTTGTTTTGAATGGATAGCATCAATAAGTTAGTCTAAATTTAAAAAGCCATAAGAAGCGTTCTGTACATGTCCTTAATGAGCCTTTTTATGTGCAATACGTACTGAAATTACCTGATTTTTGTATATGGAAAAATAATGAGTCAGCACCATACAAGGGAATCTTGTAGTTCAGCAAGAAAATATTTAGTAGAAAAATAGTATGCCATGGAATTTTGCACCATGAAATTCAACCTGATCTTTGCAAAAGCTTCATTTATATAGGAGAACCTTCCTGCAAACTCCAGAGAAAAGCCTGATTCAACAGATTTCACTGATCCCTCACGTGGCATTATAGAAGAGTTTTTGTGATAGAGGAAACAGGGTGACAGTTACCTGCCATTAGAAAGTCTGTGCTAACCAACACATTTTTGAGAAAGAAGAAACTGTACCCCATTCTGGAGTTTTCAGTAGCACTCCATCTTTCCCTCCAGCCCATCGCAAGCAACCAGAGAAAGTGGAAAAATCTGTTCCATTCCTTTTCAGTGGTGTGTTTTACATAACCAAGCCCATATTGTGGCTTAGTCTGACAAAGTGCTGCAGGCAGAAAAGGAAAGCAGCAACAGGTTGCAGGACTTCTTTCTGTTCACACTAACAGATTGTTCCCTGGAAATAGCTGTCAGGTAGAATACAAATAGAAAAAAATCCAGGCACTGTGCTCTAGACAGGGAGATCTATTTCATGCCAGTCCTTCTTCTCACTCAGCTTTTGCTGTACCTTTTGTTTTTGACGTCAGAAAAAACCCTATGCTGATGACTGATTGATTCTAAACCAAGAAACTTAACAGGAAAGACAGATCTGTTTGAACTTCGTAAGGTTTTTTTTAAAAAACAGAAAATGCTACAAAACTCAAAAAGCTAAAGAAAATAATACCCAGAAATTTTATATAATGGAGAATCAAAATAGTCTTATGTACTTTTACACTAATTTTCCTCAGTGTGGTAAGGAGGAAAACGTGACTTACACTTGTCAACAATAATTCCATCAGGCAAGATTCAGCTGCTGCCTGAACACCAGATTTTCTCTTCCATCTCTAATGCTACAGCAGCCCATACTTTAAAAACTTAAATGTAACCACAAGTAACAAATAGATTATTCAAGTCCAAGTATTACAACACTAAAGGTGTAGTTTAAAACATCAGAGATCCACCCATACTTTAAGTAAGTTAGGGAACCAGATAAAATAAGAAAGCCAAAGCAGACTTCACAGAATTTGTCATAAGTCTAATGTCAGAGAAGCTTTTCTATCTAGAAATGTAGTTAGGAAAACAAAACAAAATCAGTGCATTAGGATCACTGGTATTGCAGCCATATACTTAGTAAACTGTATAGCAATGACAAATAATCCCTATAGCAACGTTCTTTATTAATATACTCCATATTGCAAAACAGCAGGGTCACAGCATACATCTGACACAGCTAAAGAGACGCTTATAAAACCAAAAATTAATACAAACCCCAAATAAATCTTCTTGTTGGGGAAGAGTTGTGGAAATCTCCTTATTACGTGGCATTTACTACAAAGTAACAACACAAGCAGTCATGCAGGAGTAGCTTGTTCTTGGCAGGTAGCCTCAACCACCCCAATCATAAGAACTTCACAGCTACCATGTTAAATTTCATCCAGTTCCATAAAGTTACTTTGTTTTAATGCTGAAGTAGATTTTGCTTACATTTATGAACCAACCTGAGCACTGGGAAGAAATGAAATTTCCTGTAGATCTTTCTGTGGGCTGTTTGTTTTTCACAAATTCCTTCTTGGACTGGAGCAGTCTGACTGACTCATTGTAATGGTGCCTGCATGAAAAATAAAGGCTTCTGTGTGAGATAATCCTCTCAGAGATGCACAAAGCGATTACCTGGCACTTTCAGATTCAAGAACACAGCCTGCTTTTATGCACTTTGGATCTGAATACAGTTTGTTTAAAAAAAAAAAAAATAAAAAAAAAAATCACTATATTTGTTCTACCATGAAGTAGAAGTGTCATTAAATTTTGCACAATCCATGAGCAATCTATGTAATGACATTCTGGTTTCCAATTTGTTTTTGAAATTCTACCCTTACGGAAATTTTTATAGCAACATTGAATTTAAAGCACTGTGTAGGTTTGTGCTTGAAAACACATTAAATCACACTTGAATCACTGTACTTAATTTATTAAATACGACTCCTCAGAAACAGTATTTCTGTAACACATGCTCTTTAAAAGCATTCAGGAGGAAGTACTGTTGTTCTTCCATCCTCTTCTCCACAAGAAATACATTTCCTGAGTTTCAACTGTATGCTTTAAATTAATCACAATTCAAAGAAACTCAAATTACACAGCTCAAGATTTTTGCACACTTAGTATGCTTCTTAATTCACTGAACTGAGGTTCACGAGGATCCTTTCATCAGTTTTTCCAAGTTTCACTTTACTCTTTTGCTGCTCCAAATCCTTGGTGTCCCTCTGTGTACTGTCACCCTGTGGTAGTGGCACCTTCTTACATTCTTAGGGCAAGCACCAATTTTACATCCATACATCTCCACTCTCTTCAAATCAGCAAAGCTTTGCCTGTGTAAAACAGGCCCTGGCTTGCCCTGTCATAAGCCATGCTTATGCAATGCTCACGTTAATTGGCACAGCCAAGGACTCTCACTGGCATCACATCTGCCTAGTATTTACACATCCAAAGTGACTGTGAGGTCTTAAACAGCTGTACCAAAACACAGCCTGTGGGCTCTAGAGTACAGCTCTGTCCTTAACTCTGTCCAAATTCAGAATGCGTACAAAACTGTGGATATCTTCTGAATGTCTGGCCTAAGGAATTAATTTAGTGATTTTAAGTGTACATTCTTCAAATCACACTTGGAGCCACAGAAATAATTTCCAATTATGCCAAGAATATACAGCTAGCCAGGCTGCATAATTATCCGCAGTCATTTTTGTTGCTCAGCCATTGGCTAAGGGAACTGAATAGACAAGGGGTGTGGGACATATGGCAGGAGAAAGTAGGTAGCAGTAGCTTGGCCTGAGCCTTCCTACATTTCTATTTTTAATCCTGCCTTCTTGTAAACAGGCTGATGCTATGTATAGTCAAGTACACTAACTTCATGTCATGGATTGACATTCTTGGGCCTCGATTCAAAACCCAGATTTTTTGGCAAGGAACTCACTGCAGGACTCACAGCACAAGCAATGCAAAATCTTAACTGCCAAAAGGTCTGTTCAGCAGGCGTTTCAAATGCTGAGGTGGGGAGAATTATGTTATTTGAAAGAGATATCAAGAAGGACAAGCCAATCTGTCAGTTTATCAAGCATTTTCTGAAGTCTGTGTGAAACTTTCAGTTTCTATATAATTAAATCACAAGCACAACTCAGCAGAACTTGTTGGGCAAGACATAGTATGAATTAACTTGGAATTCAAAAAATGACTGTCTATCTTTACTGCAATTACATTTGCACTACAAGAGGAGTGAGTGCAGTTCTTTGCATATTAAAAATACTCTTCCTTGCCTAGGAATATTCAGCCATGGCAGCTGGTGAGGAAATAGCTCTATCATGCTACCTTTCATTGTTTTAAGAAAACAAAACAAAACAGCCTAGGGACAGCCTCCAAAATTTTCACACTCACCTAAAGTAACAGGCAACAAATGATGCTTCCACAAGCGGGATACAGCTCTGGTGCTTAAAATTCTTTTGTGCCAAAACTATTTGTTAGTCTCTGCAAAGTCCAAAGATTTTGATGGAGAGTGACAGTTTCATCACACTTAGAAGTAGTACTTAGGAAGAGGCCATTCATGACTACTTTCAGAACACAAAGTTCTGCTGAAGTGTACAATTCAAAACACTGGTAACAGGAGGCGTTTTAAGAAATTATACGAGCGTGACAGTTATAGCATAAGACCCAATCTCTTAGCCATGCCATTTCATTAACGTACTGCTTCTCTAATCTGAGCTTTGTCCCTGGAATAAGTTCTGTTTTCTCTGTTTCCAGTCAGAAAGTAAGGTAAAAGTGTGGGCAGGAATGAGAACTAATTAATGCTTCTTACAGGATGCTTCCTTTCCTGAAGAATGCTTTCTTGAAGTCTTTTACTTTTTCACAGTACATATGTTTCCAAAGGTGGTCAGCAAAGGAAGTTTGTTTTTATACCTTGCCACATATTGCATGTGTTATCAAGATAAAGCTTATAGAAAAAAAAAGTGCATTTCAAGGCAGGTTTCAGGCAAGTTCCTTCATTTTTCCTTCTAGCACAGTAGTAGCAAACTCACTCATTTTGAAGAGCAATTACGGACTTGGGTTTAACATGACATTAGAGTTGATAAGAAATTTTAATCAAGTGTGAACAGATAAACCTGTAGGCATAATATTGCCAAGACAGCTAACCTAGAATTAGCTATCTTAATACATTGTTTGTAAACTCCTGTAATTTTGAATTAAGATACCTAGTTAGAGAGTTAAAACCACAGAAGTAACATGAGAGTCAAGCACTCTGCATGCCGAACCCTTTAAATGACTGCAGTTTTGCAGGGCCCGTTCTTGTTAAAGGCTTCCAACACAGCATCTACTGACTTAGCAAAAGAGCAGTACTTGGGGGTATAGTGTTGGTCTGGGCAAAGCCTATCTGCTTTGCTCTAGGAAATGAAAGACTCAAATGGGGAAATAATGATTAGGACATCCCTTCTAAAGGAAAGGGACATGAATTTTTCACTGCCATCTCCTAAGAGGTGATACCATAAACAGACATGTTCTGCTTTGCTTGGATGTTTTATATGAACAAATTCCGTGCATTGATCTGACAGGCTCAGATTTCTAGCAGTCAGACATTCATAACAAAGAAAAAACAGTTCAGTTACCTTAACACTTTTACTGTCTCTGTCCATGACTCCTGCTCAGTCTCCCATGGATCAACTCGAATCCAATCAGATGTCTCCAGTGCTAATTTGGCCATTGCTATCCGATGCCTTGCTGAAACCAAGCCTTTCTTTCCATAGACATCATTGACAGGAGACATTATGCCTTCAATCACTTGGTATCTTCCTTCCAGAAAGGAAAAGAATAGTCATATAGTCATCGATGAGCATTTTGAAAATTTAGAATGGATGGAATATCAAGAGCTCTTCTAATGTAATCTCTTCTTAAAAGCATGCTTAACTTCAAAGTTACAGGGAGCTGTGAACAACCAGATTTAAGTCATGTTTCTAATAAGAAAACAGCAATTTAAAAGAATTGAAAAACAAGCTGGCTGTTTCTCTGAGCTAGGACTACCAATGTGTTTATTCTAGACAAAATAAAAGGGGAGGTAAACATGCAATTTTAAAGCAAGCAGAGACATTTATAATTTGTGTTACAAACTATCCAAATTGCTGGGTAGAATGAAATTCCATATTCCAATAATTGTAGCAGTACAGCTTTTAGGCAGCCAGAATAATGGATGACTTAACTGACCAATGCTTCGTTCTTAAGTGCCTGCTGCTTGTTATTTATCAAAATCATTGTGCCTCTCCATAGCACTAAAGCAATAATTACAGCATACTGTGATGTAATTAATGCAAGTCAGACAAATAAGATGATTCAAAAACAAAGGTGGACTAATGGGATTTAAGATTAGAAATCTATCATCCAAACATCAGCTGAGCTGACACTAAAAACCCCTTGTATCTCACAGCGTTAATTAAATTTGAAAACGACTATTTTTTCCCACTGTTCTAAAGTAGACATTCATACAAACTGTTACAACTCGCATTTCTGGGTTTCTCTCAGAAAACAAAACTAGAAAAATGTAATTTTAATAAATCAGAGAAATAAAGTACTGATAAGAGTTGCATCCCTTAAACTGTGAGAAGGGAAGAGGTGTTTCAAACAAACAGAAATGGAATGGAGGATTTCTAACACAACACATACATTTTAAAGAACCACCATACATATGGTACTCAAGTATCTTTTTATTTTTTTTTTTTTAATTCCTGTTTCAGCAAAGAAACTCAGAATGCAACAAGTTCCCTCTAGTCCTCCATAATGAAAATGATTGCCCTGGACTCAATTTTTTAAATTAGGACATGATAATTCAGTATTTTTAAATTAAAAATTACAAATTAATTTTCCTAAAATAGGGATACAATTTTCAAAAGAAGGGAGATGAAATTTAAAGAAGAACATTAAATTCCAATAGGATTTACAGGCCTGTCTCCTATGAAAATGACAGCCTAACCCATCCTTTGTTTTAAAAGCATTTTCAGTATAGGCAAAGTGGTCAATAGAGTAAGGTAAGAAATGAAACCAACGGAATGAGAAAAACCACAAGACGGCTAACACTTCAGGTACTGGAAATCAGACAGTAAGAGCTTGAGGTGATTGAAAATCCAGCTCTATCCAAGCAGAACACACGAGAATCTACAACCTACAAATACAGGTGCACAGCCCCAAATTACTGACTCTGGTAACTTGTGTCCTCTTCTGTAATTCAAGAGTTCACATGTTCAAATATGTGCTTGAATCTTGGCAGCACACAAAGAACAAATCATTAAGTTCCGCCACCTTCTTGCTTGCCCCATAAATCATTCCAGGCAGTTTCAAACTTCCCTTGAGTCAGAATTACCTTCACATTGTACTTCTTCTGAATGCTATCAATTGCATTCAATTGTGAATTCTGTCTTATTGCCTGTTCTGATGTTTAATTAAAACCTATTGTTAAAGCTACACATCAAAGTACAATTAACTACAAATAACAGATTAGATGAGAACAATTTGTTCCTTCCAGGGTTCAAGAACCTTATTTCTTTGGGGCCTAGTTGTCCCCCATATATGCATACATACATGTTTCACTGACAGTTTAAAGTAGGAGCGCATGAAGACTTCAGATAATTATGCTGTATGCATTTGCCTTCTGAGCTTTAAAGGACTCTTGGTGTTTCCATTATTGTATTTAAGCAAACTTATTGTTCCCCACACACAGTTTTACTGTTAGAAATTTTATCTTCTCTTTTAACAGGGTTTTACATTGCTAGAGTTTCTCTACTAAATAGATAAGGGTAAATGTTTTTTGAAGATGGACTATGAAACAATGTCATCACCCATCTTCCTCTCAGCATCATACAAAAAAATCCATGACAAGCTAGGAAGCTCTACAGCTCCATGGTGTTATCCTATTCAATAGCAGGAATGACCCCACTACTCTTCTTCCTTTTGTCACCTCCGGAGCAGGCTGCAACAGGTCAGTCTTACAGCATTGCTTTATCTCATTCCTCTCCCAAAATGCTACTAAAGGCAGCACTGTTTTAGCATTAACAGTTTTTGTAAATTTCATTCCCTGCTGCATACTTCCTGCAAAATTTAGCCTCTTGCTTTTCTACAGCTAAGAATCAGACCAATCCATTTAGCCATTCATTAGTTACATCAAATTAACTGCCCAAGTCTTCAGGGTAAGACTTCAGATTTACAGGACACCACTATAAACAGGCAGTGCCAACATATAGTCACAAGGAATTCATGCTAACTTTACTGTGTGTAAGATCTTATGCTTTCATATGACTGAAAACAGCAGATGAATCATTTATTTTAATATCCCTCTCAAAACTGCAAAACTTTACAAATTTCACTGATGTAGGCCTACATAAAATTATCATGGACTATTACTAATCTCATCTCTAGGCTGCAATGAAACTCCTTATTCTGTTTACACTTTATAATAGGAAAAGAACAGGCTTGCTGTTAGTATTTGTGATATTGTTTAACAACTCAAAACCAGGAAATAGATACATTTTCACTTTCTGCATACATAGATGTTAAAGACCATACAGATCTCAGCCTATTCTTAAGCTGACAGATTTTCACTCATTACTTATCTAAACATAAGCCAAACCAAACTCTCTGGGCTTGGCTTTTCTTCCAACTCCCCCCTGCAGTCTGCCCAGCTTCCTTAACAGCACTGAACTCAAGACTGACAACTGACTGGTCCACCAGTGTGAAGAGAATTCAACCTCAGTGCTCTTGGTCACAGAGGTATGTAGGTATGCCTGGAAAATAGAGCAGCTGCAAGAAGCAGAAAAGCTCAGAAAAACCACACATTCAGATTCAACCAACTTAAAAAATGTCTCACCCAGCAGAATATCCTAAGTCATTCTACTCAATTCTACTTAACACAGTTTACAATTGCTTGTATGAACTTAATGGCATGATTATTTGTGCTGTAAATTCCCTTGGACTGAGGTTAACCATTCCTAGTTTTCACTAGTAAGGGGATTCTTCAAGTCCATTAAGACATCGATGGATACTGATCAGAAGTAGCATGAACAATTGCATGATGCAGGGCTGCACATTTTTGGTACAGAGTTCTGAAGGTTGGCCCTTCAGAAATTAGCATTTTCTCTGCTTCATTAGGCCTACATTACCCACATATCTAAGAACAAAATGAGTCTGATAAGCAGTTTGAATTTTACCACTGTATTTACAAAACATCAAATACATAAAGCAAATCACTGTTAAGGCCTGCTTTGTGACAAAAACGGCAGCTATTTCAAAATGCAGTAGAGTGATGTTAAAACTTAGCATCAAGTGCTGAAAATAATTGGTCGCACATTGAAGCCATCTAAAAATGCAAAAATACCTTACATTAAAGCTTGAATTTCTTTACTAAAAACCAGACATTTACATTTCAGAATATGATTAATTGGATTGTTTAATTTCTTTCATCTATCTTCTGTGAGTACACACACATTAAAATCACATAATACAATTCTGTATCGAAGTAATAGTAATGGTTTTCCTTAAAATCACAAGAGATAGCAATTACCCTCCCAGAACTCTGACTATTAACATCAGGAAAACACAATAAAAAGCTTTCTAATTTTCCCATTAAAATCACAATATTAGCTTTATTTATAGATTATAATTAACTGGGGAGGGATGTCTAACATCTTTGTTCTGATGCCATGAAGCACAGGAAAATGAAAAGAAAGCATCAAATGACTAGATACAAGAAACCCCATATAAGACTTTTTCAAAACTGTTTACAGATAAACATCAAAAGGATATACTCCTATGCTTACCTTCCCTTCACATGTATGTAGATATTGCCAAGCATGAAAAAAAGGAAAGAAAATAGCAAGACTTTACTTTGTTCAGTAACCTTCTATGAAGAGAATTCAACAGAAGGAAAATCAAAGGGGTAAGCAATTTAGCTGTCATTGCACTGAAAGTCAAAGTAAACAACAAATACATCAGAACAATAACAGACAATCTTTTATGATAGCTCTTCATAGGATGGATGGCTTTACCTTCACCACTTCAAAGTGCTTAAAGATGCATTCACTGAAATAGATGAGGTGTGCAAAGATCGTAGTGACAGATGCCACAGGAGTAACTAGAGAAATATATATCATATCCACCTGGCTGTGTGAACAACAGGGCCTGAAGATGCACATTCACCCCACAGTTGGACAGCTGCTCTCAAACACTGAGACTTCAGTTACTCCGCCTGGGGACGTACAGTGATCAGTCCTTGAACAAATGCTGTACATCACACTTAAAATAAGCATTTTATTTCAAGACCTCAAAATACTACTTAGAGTTCACTGAATTTGGACCACATCACACAGCTTACTGTCATCCACAAACTTGCTGAAGCTGCACTCGATCCCACTGTCAACACTGCTGATGCAAGTATTAAAGAGTATTGGTCTCACTGCAGACCTTAGGGACACCACTCATTATTACTCTCCATGCAAACATTAAGCCATTACAATGAGTATGATCTCACAGCCAGTTTCTCATCCACTGAACACTCATTCATATCTTTCTAATTCAGAGTCTAAAGGGCTTTGTGTGAAAGCCCTTACTGAAATCCAGATAGATTATATCAGTGGCTCTTCCTTTGCCCACTGATGAAGTTGTGCCATCCTAGAAGGCTCCTTCATAGGTCAGGCAGGACATGTCTCTGGTTGTCTTGCATCACCCTCCTGTCTTCCACGTACCTTAATACAACTTCCAGAAGGACCCGCTCCTGGATTTTCCCTGATACAGCAATGAGACCAACAAGCCTGTAGTTCCCCAAGTCATCTTTCCCACCACCTTTCTCAGGTTCCTATTGCACCAACTTCCTAGGAAACTCTCTGTCAGGTTCCAATAAGCATGATTCGCTTCAAATCAATTTCAGATGCGTATGCTTCAGCAGTCAGAAGGAAGATAAAAGTATTAGCAATAAAGACGTTACCAAGCACAGAGCACAACACCCCTCCATAGCTTTTCTCATTTTTGCTAAGTTCCTGGTGTTACCCACTTTTCTCCTTTGTTGCTGAAACTCTCTAGTCATCTGAAATCTAACTTTTCTTATCTCATTCCTAAAGACATTATTTTGCCAGAGGAAATAAGTTGTTTGTCTTAGAGAGGATGGATAATGAATAATTAAGTTTTCAATTCTCCTGTTTCACCTAGTTGTCAAAACTTCTTTGACATCACATAAAGATGAAATAAAAAATGTTTATTTCCAGTTTCAAAGCTATTAAAATCTTCCACAAAATTGTCTATCCCATCTGATTCTAAAACTGCTGATAAAACTTACAGTTCCGTTGTATGGGTGTTCATGCCTCTTTAAATTTAGTGCTACAATTTCAATATAAAATATGCCCCAAACGTTTCACATTGAATCATCAATAAAGAAATTAAAATTAAGCTATCTGTAGATTTACATCTTAGCTATACCAAGCACTAAAAGTGTCTTCCCCTCCACAGCAAAACACCATGTGCTCGTAACAACTCCTTACTGACCTGTTTGATGCAGGTGATCTCTAGCCAGCTCAAATAAACGCATATGCATATTTGTGATGGGGTTAAAGGAGCCACAAGCTAGAAGAATGAGAGGTATCCTGCTCTTCATTGACATGAAGATACTGAAACTTCACCCTAAAGAAAAAACAGTATAAAGTAAAAGACAAACTTGACTAAGTACAGTCTTCCCATCATTCCTCACAACAAAAGCAGGTCTCTTTTCAGAATCATGTACTCTTGACACACTGGTAAAGTATCAAATGTTCAGTTAGCTGTGTCATCACAACACAAAGAAATTAGCTCAAAAATGCAGTTTTTTTTCCACACTAATTAAAATTTTATTCTCTATATACAGAAATAGCTAGAAACTATTTCTAGAAATTCATGTATTATTATTATGAAGAACCGTGAGGTTTTGACTTCTCTTTATTTTTAACCTGTTTTTGTCAGGAAACAACTCCTCATACTGTCCCTCTGTCAGCTTCCTATTAATAACTTTAAAACCTGTAGGCCTGTCAAAAGCAAATTTTTAATTTTTATTTTAAAAATAAGTTGGAACTGGTGCAACATATGGCAAAAACCCACATGCAACACCAAACCTACAGGTCTGGCTTCCTCAGAGGTAGGCAGACAGCCAGCCCGCACATACTTTATTAGCAGCTGCCTGTATGGTTTCTTCATTGGATGGCAGACAAGTGACAGCTCAATGATAGGGAGCAGAAGCTATAACTGTTATACACGGGACACTAAAAATCTATGGATATGGAGAATGGGTGGGGAGAAATGCTTGAACTGAAAATAATCTTTATACATTCTAGCTAACTTCAGTCATCTCAATACCAAAGCAGTAGAAATCAATTTTAGTCACTCTGCTTAGCACTACTTGCTTAATTCTATTTACAGAAATGATTCCAGTGGTTATGTCCTACATACATATCTGCAATTATGATTTTTAGGTGTGCTCTCATTTCCTCACATTTGAGCTTAGCATACATATCCAACAGCACTATTCCAAGTCCTTGTATTCCCTTATTTTTTTCCCCCTTTTTTTAATCTTATAATTTGAAAACAGTGGTTAAAAGAAAGCCACACTGAAGCTTCATAGCCACAAATTCTATCAGATGATTTATAGAATTTATTTTAGTATTTAAATCTGCAGACTAGGACTGCATTCCAGGTACAGAGCAACAGTTTTCAATATTTTCACACTTGAAGTGTTAGCAGTTAGAAATTTTTTTCGTAAAGAAAACTACTTGAAGCATGTGCTAAGATTTCATTACCTAGTACTAAGTGCACATTAAGATTTCCCCCATCCCCTTTTTACTCATTTCTCATACCTCCTATAATCCTGAGGATATACCATAGGCAAGAAGACCACGGCTGGAGAGCCATTAGAAGCTAACAGCAGTGTGATGGCCTGCAATTGCAGTAGCTGTAGGAAGCACATTGTGCAGCTCTGCGTCCCTCTGCCTTGGTTTACTAACCCTGTCGAGGCACTAACAAACTCATGCACAAAGGCTGCCTGCAGTCTTTATAGGTTCCTTATTCAAAAGGAAACTGAAACCAAACTCAAAAGTGCTCTTTGCTCAGTGCCAGCAATTCAGTAAATCTATCATAATTTTATTATGAATGACTTGGTTTTTTTAACCTGTTTCAAGGAAGAAAGATACCTGATTGACTGAAAAATAAGTTGAAAAATTTTTTAAGCGTTCTTTCCTGTTTGGCTGACATGTAGTTTATGCTTCCTCTGCACTGCTTTCCTTGGCCATGTTGAAAGTTATAAACTCAAAGATGTTTTTTTTTTTTTGTTTGCTTTCAAAGCAGCTCTTTATTCTATACACTTTTTTCTCACCTGAAAAAGATACCTTCAATTGTTGGATTTCAGCTCCTATTTAAAAAAAAAAAAAAAAAAAAAAAAAAAAAAAAAAAAAAAAAAAAAAAATCAAACAGAAAACAAGCTAAGAGGTATTCCAAAATATATTTATATGGAAACAGAAGTACAAATAATAATCAAAAAGACAACGCTGTTATTCCCAGTACCCCTATGCAGTATATCCTAATTTACTCAGCAGGTACAGTGTAGCTTTTAAGATCTCAAAGAAACCTTTCAGGTTCAGCTGCTCTTTCCTGGGTTGCCAATTCAAAATAAGTAAACCTGGGCCTAGAACACTATCAGGTATGGATCATCCCAAGCTGTAAAGGCTGAAAAGCTGAATTCCCAAGAAAATGTTCTGGGTACCTCTCTTCTGTTAGACTGAGGAAAAAAAAGGATGTCTGGCAAGGAATTCCAGCTGGAGTGAACACTCCTGTATTTTGAAGATCGTGTCCGAGTCTGTTTTAAGATATCAGCTCCCTACGCAACCATAAATAGAGTATACCATTAAGAAAGAGAACAGAGGTTACACAACTCCCCCATTCTGCTACTTATTCTTGTTCATAGAATTGCCAGTATGTTCTCTGGCTTCTTTGTAGCTAGTAATGTATGCCTCATGCCAAAAGTAAATGAGGTGTCTCCCTACAGACAGGTATCTATTAGCTACAGACTAGTGAACCTAAAGCGTCTTATACAAAAGCAGATAAAAACAATCTAAATCAACTCATTGCTCAGAAAACAGTCCAGATTCAGTGTTGAGACAAGCTGACCCCTCCCAACATAAAACGGGGCAAAGATGGATTTTGTAGTAACAGAGCTAACCCCCATTAGTACATGCCTTGGAACCTTCCATGGTGAGAACCCAGCAGCAATGCAACATTTGCCTAGTGAAAAATCACCATTACCATTCACAAGAATTAGATAAAGCACGAGTAGCATATTAATTTACTGAGCATTTAAAGTAATTGAAGCATCTCCCCCATGTGAACAAGAATGTACACATACTAAAATACATAGGAACAAACAATCCATAGATTTTTTAGCTTAATTCCTAGAAAAAAAATTAAACGTAGAAGAAAAATTAAACATTACAATATGCTCCTAACCAGTTTACGCCCTATAATGCAGTAGCAGTTACATTAAGTGGGAGAACACCTCTGTATCCCTAGCATTACAAACACCTCCAAACGTTAAAGTCAAAGTCACATGTATTTCATAGGCTGCCACTGAAAAACATTGTAAGTCCTAGAATACGACAAAACTACTTCCACCAAATTAATTACAATTCCAGACATTATCATGAGGACTATCAATAATCATACACTGAAAAAAGGTTGACTCACGTAACTGGTGATGAGGACCTCTGGCTACAGAGCACTCCTCAAGAAGAGATCTCCATACAGGAAACGCTCTCCCTCCAGGCTAGCCCTTAAATGAGCCCAGGAAGGAGTGGATCTGGGATCCATGGGATTTCCAGTCACATGGGAAGCACAGGTAAGTTGTTTGCACCTGTGCTTCCTTGGCCAGCCACTCCCTTCACCAGGTGCTCAATCATCAGTTCAGGCCATGACCTAACAGTTCCCCTACACCCATTGACTGACTTCCTCAGCTGAATACAAACCACAAACAAGTAGGTGATTGTGCTGTCACCAGGTGTTTCTTCAGTGTGCATATTGTGCCAGGGGAATATGTTTGTCGTTATAAAAGTAATTAATTAAACTACTGCTGAGTACTTGGATAAGTTGTCTTCCCTTGCCGAAGAGCCTTCAGACTGAAAAACAGTGTTTAGTAGCAGCAGTAAAAACCTGTGTCAATTTCAGTATGCAAAAACTGATTTATACCTATTAGTTGCTGTACATGTTTGCAAAAAGCAGCCCAGCTGTCATATCACTGATGTACTTAGTTAAATAATTAATCATTCATTAATTTGTTCTCCAGCAATTGTCCCTACGTAATGCATCTTCCATTAGTCGTGCCCTGCAAAACATGGTTGCTCATAAGAGTTTGCTCTTATTGTAGCGCCCAAGCCTAGCTGAAACATGAAATACTTTTGAGAAAGTACATGGATAATTCAGTTGTTCTACTTCTGTGGTAATTCTGATGAAATAAATACTAATTAGGTCAAGTATGTACCTTGCTTTCTAACAGGAAAAAAAGAACATGGAAAACACATAATATCTGTAGATTGGAAAGGGAAGAAAGGACAGAATGTACCATATCAAATTGGATTGCAACCAAGAAGGCAAGTTTTCTCTTAGGGATCTTGATAACTAAACTTTAGGAGTGCTTCAATGTCGTGGTGCTATAAATCAGCAGAAAGAACAATTATTCAGCACTTGTAGAAGTCAGGTTCTCTTTTCTGCTCTTCCACTTCTGTAACTGTGAAAAAGGAAATAGAATTGAACTGTTCCAGAGGCTGTCTCTGGCTTCATGCATACCAAAATTAAAGTGACCTTATTTGTAGATACCTACTTTGTGCCTCATCCTCATATTAATTATTAGATCAGTGATAAATTATTGCTTCTGTGTACAAGTTAAATGTCCCATAATCATTACAAAAATAATCTCAGAAATCCTCTGAGGATGACTAATTGAACAAAGGAATCACTTTTGTACTTACAATCATTCTTGCATCAAAATGCTCTACATCCCCAGAAACTGAAGTGAATATAGGAGGAAGAAAAAAAAAAAAAAAAAAAAAAAAAAAAAAAAGAGCACCAACCACTACAAACCTCAATTATACCACAAACTCAGAAAAGATCAGGTAGTACTTATTCTGAACAAATTCTAGTACTGGTATTGCCCCTACTTTAAATAAATGTACCTTATGCATTACAAGGAGCAAGACATTGTTGTGCACGTGCCATTTTAGGCCTTGACTTTCCTGTCTGATCCAAGACAGCTGTGTGCTTCCCTAGTACATTTAGACATTGATTAAGCACAGGCTCCAGAGGAGGAATTCTAGCAAATCTTCCAAAAACTACTTTGTTTCACATCATTTTCTTTCTAGCATGCTATTACTGAGTTTACAAGGCAGCATTGTTACTACATCAAGTTCATTATTAAAAAAAAAATTAAGATCTCCCTCTTGCTAATATTAATAATTTTTGTTTATTTCTTTTTAAATGCTTGGATTTTAAGAGTTAAGCCTCCCACAGTCTTTATTTGCTATAACTTCCAAAGTCCCATATTCCAAAAGCAGAAATAGCAAACCGTGTGGTAACTTTCTGTATCGGTTGGGTACTCAGTACTGGGCAGACCAGTTTCAAGTCTTCATTTTGTTGAGAAAAGGGGCAGACAATCACAGAGATAACTCACATTTGTAACCTTCCACCATAATAACACTTGTGCTTTTGAACTGCCTTCAAGTGATCAATGACTTGCTGCCACTTTGCTTAAAACCAGCAAGGTTTCAGCAGTCAGCTTTGCTACTCAAGTGCTTGCCGCTTTAGCGCCATGTCTGTGTGTGCCTCAAAACATTAAACCAAAGTCCAAGCACCTGAAATCCCCTAAAAAATAATAAAAAAAAAACCACACAAAAACAACCCTTCCACTATCCTGTATTTCAGAATTCTGTATTTACAAAGCATTAGTGAAAAATGTCTGCTAAAGAAACAGATATAAGACTGAGCTGCACAAGCATTTTTAAAAATTTTTACTGATAAAACACTTTTATAATTGTCTATTCTACTCTGCAGCAAGATCTCATCTTCTGTTTTCAAGAATTTCGAAACATTTAATAGAATGCTTGGGAACAGGTCATTTAACATCACATTTAATCAAGCAGAAGTAGTATGCTATTTTTTTTTTTTTTTGAGTCTGTTTAGTTTTTTTAAACCAATTCTTGTTTTAAGAAACCACTACACTTGATTTTTGCAAAGAATGAATAAATTTTATAAATACATCTCCCGCCATTTCAGCTTCCCTCCTGACATGACAGACGCTGCCTTTTGTCGTATTTCTGATTAGTGAAACATTACACAGCTTTTGTCACCTTTGCTGTCTTCAAAAGTCAAAAATAATGGAAGCAAGAAAAAGCACAGCTTTGACGAGACAGCGCGAAGGTTTTGCTTTTAATGACCAAACGGAGGACTCAAAGAATAAGGCTCAAAGAAGACAATTAACAGGTTCGCATTTCCTGCAGCAGCTGTCTGGCTCCTGGTGAGCTCTTGTGATTCAGGGCTGCACACGCTCCGCCCTGAGAACATGTCCCAGTAGCCTTGGCCAAACTGATGCCTTCTTTCTACATGGTAGTTGCTATGGTATTGCCTGCAGTGTAGAAAACTTTCAACAATATGGCACACCATGCAGTTATACATAAAAGGGCAGATAGCTTCAAATGAGGAACCCTCACTTAAGCAATGCAATAGATTATATGATGGAAAAAACTTCAAATTTTCATTAAAAAATTTCTGCAAGTTCTTATTCTATTGCTTATGTTCCTCAGTACATCAATAATAGATGACGTTACAGATGACCACAGTTAAATTCTGCTGAAAGTCATTAATTAGAGCCATATCCGATTAATTATCAGAAGCACAATGGAGTGCTGAGCAGAGCAGTCTGATTCATGAGCTGTTAAATTAGTAAACTGGAGGAAAAGACACTGATACGTGCACACTGTGAGGCGGGCTCACCCTTGAGGTAAGA